GGAGCCGGATGATCCACTGTAGTGACCCTGGAAGCAAATACCAAAAGGAAAAGATGTTTGTACTCTCCTTTAAGGCCCAGGATGAAAACCACTCCATGTGGAAATTGTGGATTAACTCAGCAGGGTTTTGATGAGATCTTTAAGTGTGTTAGGAACACGTTAGACCCCCTACATGAGTGATATCTCACGGATCATTCATAATACACAGGTGGTGGTTTATAACTGTGCAGCTTTTTGGGACCAGAGAGGAGCTTGGTGGTAGCACATCCTGGAGTAGAACCCACCCAGACCTGCGTGGCCAAGGGGAGCATAGCAGGGTCCATCCAGTGTGAAGAGGGCCCCAATTAGAGACTGTCCTTTATCCTGACTTTCACTTATCTTCTGCTGCCAATAAATATCTGTGTCATTGTTGTGGGTGATGAAGCATAAACAGGTATCTCTGCATGCAAAGTGACCTGCTCTGTCTGCACCCCCCCAAAGAGCCAAAATAAACAATGAGTCTTGGTTTCTTTGTGGGCAGCTCCCTGGACACTTTGGTGATTGATGTGTGCAGATCAGGAGTCCGTTCAGCCCGTCGGCCAAGCCCCACACAGAGCGCCAACTGTTGCGGGAGAAAGACACATTAATTAAACAAAGGACGGGACAGCTGCCAGCTCCGGGAGACGGATGGCAATCATGAGTGTTTGATTTTAGAGTTTGCTTCAGCACATGGCCAGAGCGTCTTTCAGCGGGAAACTCTGACGTCTGTGCACATGCTTTAGACTTTTTACATCTTTGTGATTATTATGGAAACAGCTACATCACAGCTGTTCTGATAAACATTGAAATTAGGATATTTGACATGACTACTCACTAAGTTTAGAAACGTATTGCCTATGATTTTCCTCTCTAGCTGCAGACACACTGGGACTGCTGCTGAGCAACACTTCAAACATCCAGACTGTAAACGTATTCACTACTGGAGTCCTCGTGCTTACGGCTGTAGCTCTGTGTCCCTAACGAATGGCAGACGTGTGTGTGATACTCTGCGTATGAAGCACAGGACTCCAAAGCACTTTACACCACAGCGCATCATTCATCCATCTTTACTTATCTGTTTCTGTTGTGGGGATTTGGCTGCTTGAGGTTTTTCCCGCCTTCGCTCTGACGAAACAAGATCTCTCAGGAACACTGAATGTGTTCTGGCCGAAGTTTCCCAAATAAATCTGACCCATACGTAGTCGGGCGCCACACTGATCAAACGTATGTTTCTGTGATTATATACCAGCTCAGTGGCCTAGTGGTAGAGTGTCTGCCCTGAGACTGGGAGATCAGGGTTCGATTCCTGGTCGGGTCAGACCAAAGACTTTGAAAAATGGGACCCAATGCCTCCCTGCTCGACACTCAGCACTAAGGGTTGGATTGGGGGGTTAAACCACCAAAAGGTTCCCGAGCGCGGCTGTGTCTGCAGCTCACCGCTCCCCCAGGGGACGGGTCAAATGTGGAGAATAAATTTCACACACACACATCAGTGTGTGTGACAACTGACAGGACTTTAACTTTAATGATTGGCCAACACGAAAACACAGATGTATGACATCAAAACAAATGGTTCAAAAACCTTCGACCATTTGTGAATAGTCAGAAAACAGAAGATCTGTGGCTAGCTCACCGTCATGTGTTAGGAAATTCTAACAGTGGTAATGGCCTGTTTGCGTAGCGCCTTCTGAGGGATCTACAACCCCCCCCCCCCCAAGGCAATCAGTCCTTCACACTCTGGTGGTGATGAGCTACGATGCAGCCACAGCTGCCCTGGGGCGCACTGACAGAGGCGGGGCTGCTGCACACAGGTGTTGCTCCGACCACCGCCAGCAGGCAAGGTGGGTTAAGTGTCTGGCCCAAGGACACAACAGCAGCATTCTCTGGTCAGAGATGGGATTGAACCTGCAACCTTCTGATAACTGGACAACCCGCTCTACCTCCTGAGCTGCTGCTGTCCCTACCTAAGAAATACATTTAGACATTAGTTTAAATCTATGTAGACACCAGCTGATTAAATGTCATATAAAGAAAACACGGAGAGCCGGAGCCGGACCGGCAGCCTGTGAGTCCCAGAGAATCCCTGAACGGCCGGTGTCTGCTTCCCGCTCGGAGAAGTAACAGAATACTTCAGCCGCCCCACCAAATGCACATGGCCGGACAGATGCTGGATTATCGTCCCGACCCCTGCTCAGTGCTGCTATAAAAGCAGCAAAGAGCTGCTACAAGAGTCCTTGTTTCCGAGCAGACAGTCGGTGTTTCAGGAGAGGTAATGCTTGGAAATGAAACTGGATAGATGTTGCTGGATGAAAAGCTTCAAGACACAGGAGTGATTGAGTGACTGATTGAAGACATGGGAGGGTCATAATTAAAAACAACAGAGCACACGTGGACTCCTATTGGCTTCTCTGTTTCGTCTTATTTGACCTTTGACCCAGCTCTCACCCTGGATTCTCATGTCAG